TAATATAGCCTACATCCTCAAAAACTTCAACAAAGTAAAATATTGTTTAGGATAGAAGAAAAATATTTCGCGTTTTCAACTACACTGTTTTATTAGTTAACGATTTAAAATCTAAGGGATAAAAGAAAAAACAATGCTGAAGAAAGAATAGACAACAATTTGAAATTATATTCTGTATTCACTACTTGATCAATATTTTAAATGTTTCATATCGATGCTTTGCACTTTTGTGAGCATTTGCGCCACACATAAATTTACTTTGTTTCTCAGATGTTGATTGATGTAATATCCTACTTGTTTTCATGTTTTGGTGAAATAAACGAATTATTAAATTGGATTGTTAATTCGAATAATACAGAATTATAATTCTAACAATAGGCCTAATATATTAATCTGATAAATAGTGACATTATGTGACCAGCTCTTCACTGATTTACATATTGATCCCTACGAGATCTATGCTCCCCGTCCCTTAGACACCCCTCGCCTCACGGGCGTTGCAAAGGTCTAAACAAGGACCTATAGTCTATTCTAATACTGGGAGTCGCAAAGCAAATTATGAATATGGCACCTCTAGATGCCCGGAAATGGCACTCATTCAGACTTAAAATATGAACATTTTATCTCCATTAAAAAAAAATGTTTACAATTGTATGATGATACTGGCCGGCTGGGCAATCCACCACACTGGATTAATATGATTTTTACCCTACAGTCGATGTCAGTGACATATATGCTATTATATAGGCCTATCAACAAAGCCCTGTTGGACCAGTGTGCTATAGAGCGAGGACCCTGCTGGACCCTATGGGTAGGGAAACCGAAGGGCATCTAAGGGTCGGTGGTACTTGGAGCAAATTTTATAGACCCCTCTAGACGCTCGGAAATGGCACTCTCTCACGGTCAAAATGCTTTTTCAAAGCAGTTTTCTTAGACAAAACCATTGACTTCCTCCCGACGGGAGCTATGCTCCTAATCTATCCTAATTTTTCTCAAAATGTCCAAATCAAAGAGCTCAATCACCAAGCGCATAGAGGCTTTTTCGCAACTATTATTATTATTATTTATTATTAATCACTTAGACACTCCTCCACTCACGGGCGTCGCAAAAGGTCTAATCAAGGACCTATTCTATACTGGGGAGTCGCAAAGCAAATTATGATTATGGCACCTCTGGATGCCATGAAATGGCACTCATTCAGACTTAAAATTTGAATATTTTATATCAATTTTGTTTTTAATTGTGTCAAATGTAGGGTGGCCCTGGTCGGCTGGGCGTCCCACCCACACTCGATGTCAGAGACACATTATGCTGTTGATGTCAGAGACACATTATGCTATTGATGTCAGAGACACATTATGCTGTTGATGTCAGACACAATATGCTGTTATGTATAAAAGACTTCTGAGTCAGGGTGCTATAGACCGAGGAACCTACTAGACCCTCATGGGCAGGGGCATCAAAGGGGCCCCTAAGGATCGGTTGCCCTGCGAACCGCGCACACGAGAGCGCATAGGCGTGACGCCACTTTGCATGGATAGTTGTTCTATAGCTGGGTATTACATTCCGGCTAAAAAGACTCCGTCTTCAGGTCTCCGTCTTTTGGCCTTTTTTACATCCTGATTTATGAAATCGTTGTTAAAAAATCGGCGTCGGGGATTTAGCGTTTTGTTCGTCGTCAATCAATAGAAAATTCAAAATTAGTGAGTAGGCCTATAGTAAAATAATCGAGCTCTCCTTTCGCCCTCTGCTGGATCTGCCACAGAACTCACGGGTACACTTCCTTTTTCCGATCTTTCTTTCTTCCCTTTAACTCTTATCAATTTTTTTTTAAATTTTTCGGCGTGACTGAGGGGGAAGGTAGCACGTTCCCCCGTGGCCCCCCGCCCCAGGTTAAGTGTGATTGACTCTGGAAAGGTCCAATATAGACAGCGAAAGAGATACAGGGGCGGATCCAGAGAATTTCTGACGGTGGGGGGGGGGGGCACAACATGAAGTTCACGCCACCACGCTCACCTCACAGCCCCACCATGGTTGGTGTAAATAAGTGGTAAATAATCGAGCTCTCCTTTCGCCCACTGCTAGATCACCACAGAACTTACGGGTGCACTCCTTCTTTTCCTCTTTCCTCTCTTTAACTAAATTTTTTCTCCCTCTTTTATTTTTCGGCTTGACTGAAGGGGGGGGGGGACGGGCCCTCAGCCCCCCCCCCCGCTGGATCCGCCACGGAGAATATAAATATATAATTATTAAATGCAATAGCTCATTTTACTACAAAGTGCTGAAGTATTTATTACAAGTTCGATAAACTTTTCACAAAGTACAGGTAGGCAAACATCGGACTCAGGGACAGTACGACGATAGAAACAAGGAAGTGCGACAGTGAATACGTTTAACACTATAGATGTTTTGAGTTATTCCGTTGCGGATGGCCGACGGTTATTTTGTTACTAAATTTTGGAGATGAGAACTGCTTTATGATGCAATGTCACCGACCTAACATGTATGTTATATTTTTGCTGATTCAATAAAAATAAGATACCAACGCGTTGACTTGCGTGACAAATGTTGAAGCCGATTTCAATGGCATGTTATTGATAAATTCGAGTAACAATCCCATAATAATACATGGAAATAAAGGAAAAATACCTATAGAGTCACTAGTAACAAAAACTAATCCCTTTCAAAATAATATTAATAATATAGCCTACATCCTCAAAAACTTCAACAAAGTAAAATATTGTTTAGGATAGAAGAAAAATATTTCGCGTTTTCAACTACACTGTTTTATTAGTTAACGATTTAAAATCTAAGGGATAAAAGAAAAAACAATGATGAAGAAAGAATAGACAATAATTTGAAATTATATTCTGTATTCACTACTTGATTAATATTTTAAATGTTTCATATCGATGCTTTGCACTTTTGTGTAATTGGAGGGACATGGAGTGACCTCCCCCCTCTCCAATCGTTTAAGTTTGGCGCTTTATAAGCATTTGCGCCACACATAAATTTACTCTGTTTCTCAGATGTTGATTGATGTAATATCCTACTTGTTTTCATGTTTTGGTGAAATAAATGAATGATTAAATTGGATTGTTAATTTGTTGTTGTAAATTAGAAGCCTATATCATATTAATATAAAAAAGGGCAGTAAATTAAGGATAAACACATTGGTTCTGTTTTAAGTACCGGTAATTAAGATAATCAGACTGGGTCAATGAGGGACTCGCGGAACTTCAGCACAGCACCATGGGTATGAATTAAACAGTAAGCATACATCGGGAAACAACCCTTCTCTTTTTCGAATAAGGTGCAGTCCCGTTCCTTTTAAAATCCATATGGGCCATTTTTTGCACGTAACCAACGGTTAAACATCTCTTCCAAAAAAGGTGACTCTGACAGTGTACTTTACAGTTGGTGCAGATTAATATGAACAAAAATATGTTAATGGTTTTAAATTTATAAAGCGTAAAATATTAAACAAATCTCTACGTGCTGTAAAAAGACGTAGAGATGTTTGAAAATGTGTTTTTGTAATGTCAACCTTCCTGACAACTGTCGGCGACTGTCGATTCTATGGAAATCGAGCTTCAGGTTCTCAGGGAGTGGAGATGGTGGATTCGTCGGCGACAGCCGTACGACGCGGTGATTGCCTGGCTTAAGGACCAATGAAAAGTAAACCTAAATGTAGCAAAGACTCGGGTCAAATTAGATATTATAAACAAAAAGAGCATATGGGCCTAGACCTAGTTTTATCAAATACAAACGTTTCCCCTTTATCGTCCTCAGCAATTTTAATTCGAATAATACAGGATTATAATTCTAACAATAGGCCTAATATTAATCTGATAAATAGTGACATTATGTGACTAGCTCTTCAATGATTTACATATTGATATAGGCCTATTTTAACCTATAAAATAGATTGTTTTAAATAAGACTAATCATTTATAGCAGCGTTCCGCATACTTTTTACTTCACGGCCTTTTTTAAGATTGCAGGCACCAAGCAACGGCCCAGCACCCAGCCGCGCCAGGGACCAACATACCAAAACCTGGCAAGAAGCTTTGATATATGTATATACAATAGTTTGTCATCATTATCTGTTCTCTCAGTAACAAAATTTCATTGTAGGCCTATACAAATTAAAGAACAACGTACACTTGTGCTTCCCTACGACAAATTGATCGACCCATTTCTCGTTGTTGAAACGTATCATTGTTGTCACAATTGACTTGATTCGAATGTAGTATTATTATTATTATTATTATTACTATATTTTATTGTTCTTACTGTTGTTATTAATGATATTATTCTTATTGCTATTATCATCATGTTGAGAATGGAACTCTAGAGGGACACTAAAAAGTATATGCATATTAATTAAGTACATGCATATTTAAAAGGGAAATACGTCATAATGTTGGACCCTGGGAGATAAGGTGGAAAATTTTTGTCTAGGTCTCGATTGAGAGCAGATGTCTCTAGGGAGGCCTAAGTTAAGGGCCTTAGATGAGAAAAGCCGAGTTGGACAAGTTCCATGAAGACTGGCTAATGTTGAATGCAGGCAGATATGTGCTATAAAAGGTGACAAATTAAGGTTTCGGTCATAATTAGCAGCAGTAAGTTAATTATTTATATTGCATTGTATTATAGCAGGACTAATGACGTGTATCGTGTAGGGTAATGTTACCTCATGCTAATGACGTTCCAAGGGAACTCATAGAATTGTTGAAATGCAATTGGACCTAAGAAAATATATATATATAAGCATAATTTATTGCTAGGCCTATTTTGCAATTTATTTTATTTTAGGTCGTTAATTGTAAATTACGATGTGGGGCCTGCCTCTAGAAAAATGTACCATTTTGTTTATAGGTAGCCTCTATATTATGCAAGGTGTTTCAACGAGTCAAGTGAATGAAATTGCTCCTAAAATGGAAAGGACCTTACCCCTGTCTCTTATACACATCTAGATGTGTATAAGAGACAGGGGTTAGACTGGGATAGGTTCAACTCTCTTAGAAAGCCAGAACTTATTGTACTGGCTCGATATTCCGATTTAAGCGTAAAATATGCAATGAGAAAACAGGTAATTAAGAACTTACTGATAGATTACTTGGTGCAGGAGGAGATGTTTGATGAGAGTGTCTTGTTAAATAGAGTGGAGATTGCTGATACGCAGCATACAGAACAAGAGGGAGATATGCAGTTGAAGGTTAGGGAAATGGAAGTGAAGTTGGAGTATGAGATGAAAGAAATGGATATAAAGTTGGAGTATGATAGGATGGAATTTGAGAAATGGAGAATGTCAAAGGAATCGGAGTTAGAGGAAAAGAAGTTGAAGACAAGTCAATCGTTAAATGAATCATACATGGACATTAGAGGTAAAGCAAAAGTTCCGAAACTACCTGCATTTTGTGAAAGCAATGATGATATTGATTCCTACATTAATAGATTTGAACGCTATGCGAAAAATCAAAAGTGGCCAGAAAATGAATGGGCTACCAACTTAAGCGCGCTGTTAACGGGTGGTGCATTGGAAGTTTATTCTAGACTCCCAAATACAGACGCTGAGAATTATCAATTGTTAAAGTGCGCATTACTTAAGCGATATGATTTTACAATTAAAGGGTTTCGCTCCAAATTTATACTATTATTATTATTTTTATTTCTCAGACTCCAAAAATGTTTCGCGGCCCAGATTTATATAACGATGATAAAACATGGAGGCTTGTAGGCCTGCTAACTGAACAGAAACTGTAATCGAAGGCTAATATCAATAGCCGAATATCAGAATTTCTCAACACAGACAGCTATCATCTGCATGCTGACTCTATACTGTAAATATATATATATATATAAAACAATAAGCAAAAATTGTTCGTATAAAATTAAACTTTTGCGAGTACAGTAACACACATTAATACAGTAATTCTCGATGGATATACAGTACGCCTAAATGCTTTGTAATATTATATCTTCTCAAGTAAATAAGCCTACTATGGTTAAATATTATTCGACTATTAATCATAATAATTATGTTTTTGTGTAATAAATCCATCGTTTCCCACAATGTTATATCGAGACCAACAGTATAATCAACATTAAATCATAACTTATTATAGAAATTAAATAACACTAATAGTGAGAAAATTGTTGTTCTCATAACATTTTTCTTAAAACATTTTTTAACTTCTTAACATATAATGAAGGATTGCCTTGGTCATAGGCCTATGTCTCTGTCGTCCGCTTCTCTGTGCCCTTTAAGGCTGACGCACACCGGAGTCGGCGTCGGCAGCCGACGCCATTCTATATTAAACCCCGACGCCATTGTGTTCAATTACTATCCACACGGAACGCCAAAATAACAAACCATATGTGGCACACGGAGCAAAACAGTTAAGTTTCGTAGTGTAAAAGTCAAGTTGCAGCACAAACGCAAGTATAAGTGACACAAACGTTTGTCGTACTACTTGTCTTTCTCTCTGCACCACTTGCCTTTTGCGCTGTGTCACTCGACATTTTGGCACTGTGCCACGAGTGGTTTATCCTATCCTACGACGGTGTTGCGTCGTGCAATTAGTGCTCACAAACAGCGCAAAAAAATATTCGGCCGGCGGTGGCCCGTCAGTCAAAATGAGCACCGTTCAGGCAGACAACCCTTTTCCATTTCCAACAGCTCAGAGATCGTTTTCTCTCAATTTCATATGACTCGTATGATCTATTTAGATCAGAGAGGTATAAACATATTATTTTATTTATTTATTATTGCTATCCCTCTGTTTATATAGTAAGCCTATGCAATTTGTAAAATTATTTACTGTATTTGATTAGCCTTTCGTGTTACCGTCATAATATTTCTAAAAATAGAATGGTAGTTGGCGCTGTTCATTCAATGCGATTGATTTTTTCGTTCAAATACTGCCATCTGAACCACCTGAAACCTGGTTTCCACACAATCCCCACACTATCGCTACAGTGTTTTCAGTGCAATCAATGTTCTGCGTAGCAATCGCAGGGCCCCGACCGACAGAACAATCAACATCACCGAACTGGGGGGGGGGCGACGTCCGACAAGGGGGCCGATGCCCCGACGAGGGATCAGATTTCCATGACGAAAGCAAATTGGGCATGGTCGAGCTTCGATTAAAAGGTTTCGAAAGTGGTCCTGGGTGCGAAGCCCCTGAGAATTTTGACAATTTAGGGGTTTCAAAGGCTGGAAAATACATATAATTTTTTTTTCTCCCCGACGAATTGTGCCTTTTCTCCCCGGGGGGGGGGGCATCTCTCCCCGGCGGGGGGGCCTGCACCCCCCCCGCGTTGACGCCACCCCTGTCACCGAAAGCTGTCAGCGATAGCGTTTAGCGATAGTAAAACCAAGCTTAAATTGAAAATTATTAAACGCTCTTACGTGGTTGTATTTAAAAAGATCAAATCAATTTTTTTTTTCCGAGGGATTATTGATTTTTGTGCACCAGTATATCTTTAATATATTATTTTGTAAAAACATTGTATCAGCTTTTCTTCTAATCAAAGAATACTACAAAAACGTTGGCAATCAATATTGTAACAGTCAAGTCATTAATGGCATTTCATCGACTGTTGAATACTGCAGTTGCACACTCGTACTTATTCCAGCTTCCTAACGAAAAGAAACGTCACCAATGACGTCACTAGTACGATGAACTTGCTAAAGTAGACCATAGTGGTACCGCTGGTAGGATCTGTGAAAATTTAAATAAAATAAATAGTCGTTAATACATTTTACTATATAGCTGTTTGTGGTACTATTTTTGTCAAATATTCAATGAAGATTATGAAGTACTTAACATATATTATATACAAAATAGATCTAGGCAACACTGTTACTAACTTGAATATGAATTTACGAACAAATATATGAACAAACGAACGAACGAAGAAAGACCAACAAACACACGAATGAACAAATAAAATAATTATTAATTCATTAATTAATGAAACGATTAAACAACAAAACAATCAGCAAATCAATCAATTAATTTTTTCCTCGGAAATCCGTTGTCGGTTTACAATTATTTTATTCAACGAAAGAAAACAACATCATGCAAACGGTATTACAATAATATAATAAATATGCAGACACATAGAACACACGACTTTAGCTACAATCAGGGAGAACGCCCTTTTTTGTCTGTTCATTACTCCACAAGCTGTCCGTGACAACGGTCCTCAAATTTCTCAAGTGAAGAAAAATCTAACAGCAAGTTTGCTTATGACATAGGCTTATAGTATAAAAAGAAAATATTCAGAAATGAGCAGGAGCTATTTACGTTCTGGCATCCATGTATCCTCGGGCCAGCCGAGTGTCTCTTTATTTTTCATATTTTCATCTTCTAGCCATTTGGTCAACGGTTCGAAGTACTTGAGAAGGGAGGACGCATCCATCGCACGTTGACCTGTTATCTGTTCCATTGCATCTGGCCACGGCTTACTGGACCCCAGTTGCAGCATGTTTCTATAACAAATAATACAAATTCTGGAGATTCCGTCTTGTCATTAAATGCTAAATAACAGGATTAAATTAATTTGATATTTGAGATGTATAGCTACGCATGCGCAAAAGAGTGTGAATGTTAGTATTAATTGGAGTCAAGATGAATAGCTAGTGGTTAAGATGCTTGCCTTCTAATCCCAGGGTCCTGGGTTCAATTCCTGTCACAGCAGGACTTTTTCTCACGACTAAAAACAACCCCACTCATAAAGAGACTTCACTGATAAAACATCACATTATTTAATTTATTAATTTATATGGTTAAAAAAATAAAAATTATAGTAACAATTTTAAATCTTCTACTGAATTTATATAGCCGGAGTTAGCTTCAACCCAGGCAACCCTTAGTAAAAGGGTACATTTTCTACATAAACGGCTCTACAAATGGAATGCATGCATGAAATCCTGTCGACCAAACCCAGTAGTTTGGATTATAATCTTCCGGAAACTTAACCTTGCTAAAATATAATTAATACTGACACTTTATCATAATCATCAAAAAGAGAACATCAGCCTGCATCACATAAATTATATGGGAAAATTAACTGACATAAGTAGGCCTACTATCCCGAAAGCCCATGCTATCTTGATTAGAAGACAAGTGGGCTTCTTTTCGAGATTAGTTTTGCAAACTAAGAGGGGCACTTCTTTTCGAAATGTGCTTTTTATTCAAGGTTTTACAGTATTATGTCTGGCCTAAAAATGATAAACTAATTTCATGTGTCGGACCCTTTAACGGACCATGAACGCGAGTTTGTGCAAACTGTACCGACAGTGCCACATGACTGTATGTTATTTTATGTTATGTTTGCCTACAAATTCAAAATAATTATTTCAGTTATGTTTATTATTGTTTATATATTCCATTATAACTATGATGGTTGTTTTACTACTTACGACAAGAGAGTTCCTGCTTCCTTTGACTGATAAATATCGCACTTATAGAGGGGTCCCGTCTGTCCCGCTGCTGCGCACAGAGCTTCGTGAAATTGAAACTGGATAACGAAGCTCACGAAGTATCTAGAAAATATGAAAGTTACCACAGATTCTGACCTTCTATTAATATGGCAATATTTAAAATGATCTTTAAACATACATACAGTAATCATTTTTTCCTCACCAACATGATAAGAAGGATCTAGGCCATATGCAAATCATATTTATAAAATTTTCATTTTGCTTTGACCTTCACGACTGCTCTGTTTGTTTATAAGATGTAGATGAGTCTTGCTACTACCAACATTTTGATATTTTCATAAAATTTACCTGATGTAAGGTACATCTGCCGGGATGTGATATTTTGCAGCTGGGTCGAAATCAGCTTCTGTACGCTCCACTGGTGGCACAATACCCTGAAATTTCTTTCTTAAAATGTAAAAAAATACTTAATATAATTTCCGATACAAGTATCTAGGCCTACTTAGTGGACAAAAAGGTCTCTGAGAATCTCAACAAACATGTCTGAATATAGGACCTACTAATAGACTAACTTAAACTCACTGTGTTCTATTAAATAGAATAAATGAGTTACCTTGAAGTTTATGTATCTGCCTGAAAATAAAATATTTATTGTACGAGTACTGTCGGATAGGTCATCATCAGGTAAACAGATTGAAATATGATAAGTTACGAGAATATACAGAACGAGAGCACACAGACAAATCAAACAAAGCGATGGTAAACAAAAAACCATTCATTCATTGGAGATGATGGTCACAAGAGACACTAATGGATTTGACGTTTTCGAAAACATAAATAGATTTTATTTGCACATTTGATTGATTGATTGAATTTATTCGTAATATCAGCGTCATAAAAATACATACATGAACACGAAATACAAAAAACAAGACAAGATAAGAAATTAACCAAAAACATGACCCTAATTACAAGGAAAAGCCCAAAAGAGGAAAACTTATTTCCATTGGGGCCCTTGCCAACACATAAATATAATTCCACATTTTATCATGACAGAAAAAACCAACAGTTCATAGAAAATAAAATGAATAAAAACAGATGACAAAATGGCAGCAAAAGAAGATCAAAACTCTGTTTATCACTCTAATGCCAGCAGTAAAAATAAAAATTTTAAAAAAAGATAAAAATCTATAAAAAATTTCAGAATTACGGCACTTTGAAAATAAGTTACCGGTAAATTATAAAATAATTTATTGTATTGTTTGTTGGTAAATTTTATAAATAAATAGGTCCAACGTCCAGGACTAACGGAACTCATACTTGTCAGGTTACTGATACACACTTTGCGCATCAGAAAAGTATAGGCCTAAGGTGCTATGAAAATTTTGTATTCACTACTGATATTTCAAAACATGCTTACTGAAATGCATTTTACTACGGTAAAATTATAGACAAGTCCCCCTTATTATTTTTTGCCTTCATTCTGGACAGCGCCACCAACAAGAAAATTAATTTAGAGACGAAATAAATCCGAAAAAAAAAATCGAGACCCTGAAATTTCTTTCTTAAAATGTAAAAAAATACTTAATATAATTTCCGATACAAGTATCTAGGCCTACTTAGTGGACAAAAAGGTCTCTGAGAATCTCAACAAACATATCTGAATATAGGACCTACTAATAGACTAACTTAAACTCACTGTGCTCTATCAAATAGAATAAAGGAGTTACCTTGAAGTTTATGTATCTGCCTGAAAATAAAATATTTATTGTACGAGTACTGTCGGATAGGTCATCATCAGGTAAACAGATTGAAATATGATAAGTTACGAGAATATACAGAACGAGAGCACACAGACAAATCAAACAAAGCGATGGTAAACAAAAAACCATTCATTCATTGGAGATGATGGTCACAAGAGACACTAATGGATTTGACGTTTTCGAAAACATAAATAGATTTTATTTGCACATTTGATTGATTGATTGAATTTATTCGTAATATCAGCGTCATAAAAATACATACATGAACACGAGATACAAAAGACAAGACAAGATAAGCAATTAACCAAAAACATGACCCTAATTACAAGGAAAAGCCCAAAAGAGGAATTGTTTGCTCCTACCTGAGATCCCACCAACTTTTGTTCATTTCATCCGTTGATGTAGAACCATCGAACAATCCCCATCTGTACTTATCCATCAAGTATCCAAAAGGAAGGAATGCGATTTTGTCCAAAGCCATACTCATTAGGAAATTCAAATCCGCCTCTACATTAATTTTTAGAATTTATTTTGCAAAGTTAATAATTATAGGACCAAGTCAGCCAAAACATTATTTTATTGTTGTCATCATTATCTTTCTCTTTATCAACACAATCATCGTATAAATTATCATAAGCATCATGATCACATCACTGTAACTATAATCAGCATTATCATATAACTTTTTTACCATCATCATAATTATTCTAATACATATTATCATATCATTATCATCATTATTAATACATTATCACAATTACTGTATTACGATTATTATTATTATTATTATTATTTTTATTATCATTATTATTATTATTTATAGTATTATTATTATTATTATCATTATTATTATTATCGTTGTCAACATCATCATCATCTTATCGTCATGATCATCATTTTGATTGGTAGTTAAGATGTTTTACCATCATTATTAATCCATTATCACAATTACTGTATTACAATTATTATTATTATTATTATCATTATTATTATTTTTATTATCATTATTATTATTATTTATAGTATTATTATTATTATTATTATTATTTTTATTATCATTATTATTATTATTTATAGTATTATTATTATTATTATTATTATTATTATTATTATTATTATCGTTGTCAATATCATCATCATCTTATCGTCATGATCATCATTTTGATTGGTAGTTAAGATGTTTTTTGTAATTTCTATTGTTACATGTTGAGGGTCGCAAATAATCGCTTCTACTAGATGGCTAACGCTCATTAAATATGGTTCAAATAAAATAAATAAATAAAGTAAATCACCATCATCACCCTTATCATCATCAATATCACCATTAAAACTTAATGGATAAACGTTTCTTTTTCATGCTAATGTGAGTTCCATACTACTGTTTTATATTTTAGTGACTGTAAAGTATAGATATAACAAGAAAGAAACATTGAAAAATAATGTTGGTGGTATTATAGCTGAACAACCTACCCTCGTCATCCTCAACTTCGTCTAAAAGACCAACAGACTTTAGATGCTTAGGCGTAGACACGGACAATGCTAATACATCACCGACAGCCTCGTGGAAGCCAGGGTTCGCACCATTACGATACACCACCGGTTGTTCCTTGTATTGGAGATCGTACTCAATGTGTCCCATCTCATGATGGATGGTGATGAAATCATCCATAGTAATATCCGTACACTGTTTAATTCTATTAATTTAATATATAAATAGGAGAAATCAGTGTTTTTTGTAAAGCAATATAAATTCTTTCATACTCAATAATAATACATCATTATGATTAATATACTTTTTTATGAGAAGCAGTAAAATTTTGCCGTGGCTCAGCGTTCCTATTTTTAACCGATTTCAGGCACAAAATGTTCTTATTATGTTCTAATTTTACACACTTTTCAAATATAGAAAATTATTATAATTGTACAGTAGTATATACTGTACTGTGAGGGTACTTTATTTTAGTCACACGACACTTACCGGTAAAATAAAATAAAATTTGTTGATTTTTTTCTATTATAAGAAAATAAAAACATCATTTGACATTTTTCCTCAGCCTCAATCTTTTATTATTTTCTTCTTAATTTTTAGGCAATTTCAGCCTCAGTATTCTAATAAAATGTGTTCTTAT